GGGGGTGTCGGCCACCAGAGACCCCGCTCTGTGCCTGCTTGGCTGGCTTGGGCTTCTTCCCCTGCCGCTCAGCACCCTCTGAATGCTGCTTGACATTTACAGCTGGGGCGTGTGGTCCCGTCTTGGGCCCCCTTGCTGTGCCAGGTGCACAGAGTGAACTGAGGACTTGGCGCAGGTGTCCCTGGGCCTGGCTCCCGCAGGGCTCCGGGGCTCTGTCCAGGCATCTCGTTTCACATGCGGATGTGTTCCTCTTGACCTGGCACCTCTCCAAGCGGGACATACGTTCCTCAATTCTGGCCTCTGCTCATTCCTGGCCGGAGGGTGGCCCAAATCTTTGCTCCCGTCTGCGCCACCTAGAGGTGGCTGGGGAATGTGCCGCGGAAGGATTCACCTCCCTGAAGGGGCTCCCGGCTCCCTGGTGTCCTGGGGTCCCAGTCGTGAAGGTCCGGGTGGGCTGGGGGCCGGGACACTGGGACCACCCGGCTGAAGGTGTGAAGGGGGCGGGACGTGGGAAGCTAGGAGACAGCCCGGGGGGGGGGGGACTGAGTGTGCTGTGGGGGCGGGGACGGGGAGTCCCGCACTGAGGTCCTCGCAGCGGCTGCCCCAGGCTGTCCCCTGTCCCCTGAGGTCGCCTGTGCCCTGCCCGGGACACTCAGTGATGGAGGCATGGCGGACGTCCCTTGAACGGTGCCGATGCCGTGGGTCACTTCACAGCAGCTCTGCCCTGGGGCTCAATCCCTTGGGCAGGGGCCGCCTTCAGATAGGACACCAGGGAGCCTAACTCACCCTTGTCCCCTGCCATGTCCCAGGGGGAGCTGGTTCAGCAGCCACTATCCTCCTTTGGAAGAACCAGCCAGGCCTGCAGGTCATCCGGGAAGTAGAAGGAAGACGGGGAGGGGCCAGTGCAGACCCCGCGGCGCCCCCATGCCCCTCGGGGCTTGTCCTTGTCTCCGAGCTGGGCAGCTTCGTTTTTGTTCAGTTCACCGAGCACCTGGGCTGGAAAGAAGAGCAAACCGTTAGGAGCCTTCAGCATGACTGGAGTGCGCTTCTGTCTCTGCTGCTGCAGCTCCGTCTCTCTGGTCCGTACGGGTCCCGCCCCGGGATTGCTTTTCCTCCCCGTGCACCTGCTCCCATCGAAGTTTCTGGAACGTAACGTTCATCCCAACCCAGAACCAGAAGGAGACGTTTATTAGCCGATGGGGCAGGACAGCAGCCTTTGCAAACAGTACCTTCTGCCTCAAAAACTCCAAAGCCTTGAATTGGATCCAGCAGGTGTGTTGGGAGCAGCGGGGATGACCGAGGCACAGGTGTGGGAACGGCGTGCCAGGCCCACCTTTTCAGAGAGTCGCGGAGCCACTGTACGTGTGACACGTGACGGCTCCCGTCTGCTGGAAAAAGCGGCTTCCGTGGGGCAGGCGGTAGCGGGCAGGAGGCAGTTTGCAGTTTAGCAGGAACTAAGTGGCAGTTAATTAACACATAAAAAAGGTACATATTAAAAAAGTTGGACTGTTTCCTCTCAATGAAGTTTTGGGGTGATGGTGGGGGGGATGTCCGGAGCTGACAGCCAAGAACGAATTCTTTTTTTTTTTTTATAATTTTTTTACATGTATTTATTTTTGAGAGGCAGAGAGAGGCAGAGCACAAGTGGGGGAGGGTCAGAGAGAGAGGGAGACACAGAATCCGAAGCAGCGCCAGGCTCCGAGCTGTCAGCACAGAGCCCGACGCGGGGCTCGAACCCACGAACCGTGAGATCATGACCTGAGCCGAAGTCGGACGCTTAACCGACAGAGCCACCCAGGAGCTCCAAGAACAAATTCTTGAGGACGTCTTTGGTGCAAAAAGTGATTTTATTAAAGCACTTCCTTCCCGTGGGCAGGAAGAGCTGCACTGGGATCGTGGCGGGTAACTGATTATATTACATACCCTCAGGTTGGGAGGGGGGCAGGGATAGAATATCCTAAGGTATTTTCGGAGCAAGGTTTCCAGGACCTTGAGGGGCTCGCTGTTGCTAAGGAAACACCACTTACTATCGTTTAGTTAAACCTCAGTCATGACACTCTTCAGATGTATATTGGGGGGACATAAGCTTGGAGCAAGATTGCCAGTGTATATCTCGGAGGAGTTGAGATAAAGGAAGTTTCCAAAAGAATTTTTTTTTTTATGTTTATTCACTTTTGAGAGACAGAGTGTGAGCTGGGAAGGAGTGCAGAGAGAGGGAGACGCAGTCTGAGGCAGGTTCCCGGCTCTGAGCAGTCAGCACAGAGCCCGGCGCGGGGCTCGAACTCACCAGCTGCGAGACTGTGACCTGAGCTGAAGTGGGACGCTCAGCCGACTGAGCCACCCAGGCGCCCCTTCAAAGGCATTTTTATTTGTTAAAGTAGACTTACATGATCCTGGGGGTCAGGACAATGTGACTCCCAGAACCCCTTGTGCCCCCAGCAAAATGTCATCGAGGCAGCTGACTCCCAGAGGGAGGGCACTGCTGGCCCCAAGGACGTGCCAACGGGTTTCAGGCAGGAAAGGATTTATGTTTTCATCTGCCTGTGTTTCCCGCGTCACCATGGTGAGCACTTAAACCTCCTTCCTTTGTTCTTGGGTGGCCAGGAGTGTCTGAGGAACATCACACTCATCCCACCGGGGGTGGGGGTGAGGGGTGCCAGCCTGTATTTTGCCCTCAGCTTGCCCCACACTCCCTCATCACTATTGGGGTCTTTTACTTTCGTATTTATAAGCTTTCCATATATTAACACTGTGTCAGGCGTGGTACATATATTTTGTTCCATTAAGAAATGTTGAAGAGGGGCGCCTGGGTGGCTCAGTGGGTTGAGCGGCCGACTTCAGCTCAGGTCATGATCTCATGTTTTGTGAGTTCGAGCCCCGCATCCGGCTCTGTACTGACAGCTCAGAGCCTGGAGCCTGCTTTGGATTCTGTGTCTGCCTCTCTCTCTGCCCCTCCCCTGCTCACACTCTGTTTCTCTCTTTCAAAAATGAATAAACATTAAAAAAATTTTTTTTTAAATATTTTTATTTATTTCTAGGAGAGAGAGAGACAGCGTGAGCAGGGGAGGGTCAGAGAGAGAGGGAGTCACAGACTGAAACAGGCTCCAGGCTCTGAGCTGGCAGTCAGCACAGAGCCCGGCGCGGGGCTCGAACCCACGAACCGCGAGATCATGACCGAAGCGAAAGTCGGACGCTTAACTGACTAAGCCACCCAGGCGCCCCAAAAAAATTTTTTTAATATATTAAAAAACATTTGACAAATAAGTCAACAGTTTTAAGTGATCAAATCAGGCTGTCAACGTGGGATCTGGCTTGGGTGGTGCAGTAGACCTGGGGGTTCCTCCCCTGCTGGGAATGAGAGCCAAAACATTTGGAAGGATGGACCCCCATCATCCCTTTGGGGTCGACCGCGCCAGTGGTGGCGTTCCGCCACGTGATTGGTTCAGGGGTAGGCACGCCATCCAAGTGGGCCGACAGAGGCATCCCGTGACCTCCAGGGGTCATCGTCCGGTCATCGTCTGGTTGTCCAAACTTCCATTCACCTCTGGGCTGTTCCTCTGCACAGACCAAGGACTTCCCTTTTCAGCGTAAACCCATCGGAGCCAGATTTTCTTTTCTCTTTCCTGCACCTGCCAATATCCTAACTCATGTGGAATTCAGCCTGAGGAAGTGGGGTGTTGCCCAGAGTAGACCCTAAACTCTAGAAATGGCCAAACCGAGGCGGGGGCAGGAAGGAGGACTCCTGTCTTTCATGGGGGGACATTGGGAACTTTTGCTAAATGTCATGAAGTATCACGGTTGGCTGAATCATGGCCCCCAAAGATCTCCCGCAGCCCACCCCCCGACCTGTGACTGTTACTCCGTATGGTGAAAGGGAGTTTGCAGGCGTGATTACGTTACAGGCCCTGAGATGTGGTGATGGTGCTGGGTGATCTGAGCAGGTCCTTGAGAGCAGGGTCTGGGAGGAGCTGAAGTGAGAGGAGAGAGGCTGGAGGCTTCCAGATGGAGGAAGGGGCCACCGGCCACCCACAGTGGGTGGCTGCTGGAAGCTGGGAAGGAAGCAGGCTCTCCCTGGAGCCTCTAGAAGGAATGTGGGCCCACACCTTGACTCTAGCCTTTGGTGAGCCTGCATTTGGACTTCTGAGCTCTAGCACTGTAAGAGAATAGCTTGTGTTGTTTTCAGCCCTTAGTTGGTGGTCATTTGCTCCAGCAGCGCTAGGAGACCAGCACAAACCTGACTGTCCCCTCCTTATCCAGGGGCGCAGGCTATGTCCCCAGGAAAGTCAGCCAGAGCCCTCACACGGTGGAGGTGCCATGGCTCACTCAGTAAGCTCCCGAGAGACAAGCCTGGAAATGGCCCAAGTGAAGGCTGAGAAGCCAGAAAACACAAGTTGGCTGAGAGGGATCCTTTCTGCCCCTCCAGGATGGCCAGAGGTCAAGAAAACCAAGCCTTCCGTCCCAGCCAAACTAATGAGAGCTGAGCAGGTGGGCAGGGAAATCCTGGGGAGGGGGACCCGGAGGACACCCAGCCCAGCCCCGGGCCTGTCTCAAGCACCTCCCAAGAAGCATGACTCTGACCGAGAGGACATGCCCTCTTTTTAGGGGATGCAGCTGGGCTGCAGTGTGTAACAAGGTGCCACACCTGGCACTTCACCAGTGAGGCTATGGTTTCCCACGCCCTCGTGGTGGAGACCATCAGATGATGGATGGTGGGGTGGCCAGGCTGAATACCATGCCCTATTGCTGGGAGACAGAAATTTCTAGTTTAAATTCTACCCACTAGTAAGATTCTGGGCTTTGGATCCCAGCCCTTGGACTTGACTGGAGGCAGAGAGACTGAACTTTACTAAGATTTTAGGGGACGTGTATCACTATGGGTCATTTTGTACTGGGCTTTGTTTCCTTTTCTCCTTCTCAAGGCCGGAGATGTCAGTGCTCAGTGTATCACTCGGCCTGAGGTCATCTGGTCACAGGAGGCTGCATCCGGCCCCAGCAGACAGAGCATCACATCCACCAGACGTGCGGGCAGCACGCAGACTGAGAGCTCAGCGCCCTGTGGGGGCGGGCACCGCGTGCTGGCTGTCCATCTGTGAAGGTGAAGTGCAGGGGAGAGGAGGACGGGGAGGGGGCTGCAGGGGAGGGTTTGTAAGGACTGGGTGGCTGAAGGGCTGACCCGCAGTGCCTGGGGGGGGCGGTGCTGCCAGTGTTCTCAGCGTGTCCCTGTCTCCTGTCCCTGCTACACAGAGGCACCTGGGGGCCTTTTCCCTGATGTTTGCTGTGGCTGAAAAGTGAGATTGGAGGGAGCGTGGAGAAGGTAGCCCGGCCCAGACACTGAGGCCCTTTGCAGCCAGCAGAAGAGGCTTAGCTTTTGCAGAGGGCGATGGGTCCCTGGAGCATCTGGGACAGGAGACTGCCACGTTAGGACATTAGGACGCAGGCTGCAGAGGTGCGTGGCGGGGGGGAGGGGTGGCACGGGAGCAGAAGACAGGCATAGAGGCTCTGCTTTCTGAGTCCCAGGTGATGCATAGGGTCCCGCCTGCCCTGGGCTTCTCCCCCCAGTGCCGCTGGCCTCTCCCACCTTGAGGGGCTCTGACTGATACTCCCCCGGCCAATTGCCCTCCTCTCTGCAAACAGAAGCCTGAATTTGTCATGGGCTGGGGCTTTTAGCTCAGACGGGCAGTGACTCCTTTTCTGGCCCCAGAGGGGAAGTTCCAAGGAGTCCAGCCAGCAGCTCATCGTCGCCACTGATTGGTCCGTCCTTCCGTAGTTGACTTAGTTCTGGCTCATAAGGACGCTGGCTGGGGGATTTCCCAGCTTTCCTGGGTAAAATAGAACTTCTGGAGGGGCATTTTTTCTTCGGCCTCCTTCCCTCCCTTTCTGTCATGAGCACATGATAGATGGAGTTGTGACACCATCTTGTGACCATGAGGCAGCAAGCCTGAGCTTGGGGACATCTGTCTCGTCTGGGACACTGGATTGGAAGAATCACTCCTGTAGGAGGCTTATTGGGTGATGAGTAATTTTTTGTGTCAGTTGGACTGGCCGTGGGGGGTGCCTAGATTAAACCTCATTCTGGGTCTATCTGTGATGGCGTTTCCAGCAAAGGAGACGGACCTCCCAGTGTGGGTGGGCCTCCGGCAACTCCCGGTGGCCAGAAAGGAGCACAGGAAGGAGGAGGAGGAGGAATCGGCCTGTTTACGGCCTCACTGCCTGGGCTGGGGTTCATAGCCTCCTCCTCCTCCACCCTCAGACTGGGGCTCCTCCGCCCTCAGACAGGATGACACCACTGGGCCTCCAGGCTGTCCACCTTGCAGGTGCTGGGCCGGGAGTCTTCTCAGCCTCCATAATTGCGTGAGCCAGTTCCTGGTGACAGATTTCCCTTTATGCCCCGCCCCCACCTCGGTTCTGTCTCCTTGGCAAACCCTGACTAGTAAGGACAGTTCTATGCTGAGGAGGTACTTGGGAGCCAGGCTGGTGAGGGAGGGAGGGACACAGCACAGACTCGATGAGCAGAGACTGAGCCACATGCAGGCACACTGGCCTCATCCGGTCCATCCTGCCCGGAGACTCTGGCGCCAGGACAGCCCTTCAGGGACGGCTTGAGCTGAGGACAGAGGGCTAGGTCTTTGTCTCTTCACACCGGCCAGTCACTGTGTGTGGGCTGTCCTAGGGGTGCGCAGCTCCCTTGAACAGAGGACAGATGGTCCCTAGGGAGCACTCAGCTGGGCGTGTGCAGCACAGCTCTATGGCCGTGGGAGCAGGGTACCTGGGTCCCGGAGGAGTGTGCACCCCAGGGTCCCTATATCCCCGAGTGGCTCAGCCACTATGACATCGCAATGGCCGCTTCCCCCTGGCCCTTTTGTGGGCAGAAAACAATTTTTAAAGCACCACTAGGCCAGCGTCCACTGCTTTCGGTTGAAGGCATCAGCTAGGGGAAGCCGTGGACCTTGGGGCACTCCGGTGAGTGAGACAGAAAGGAGACAGAAGGCACAGCCCGAGCAGTGAGACAGGCGTGGAGTGACACGATTCGGCGCCCCGAAGTCTCACTCCAGCTGCCGTGGATGCCACACGGCCGCACTCCAGGGGCGGAGGCTGACGTACCCCGACACCATCAGTCTACTCGTGCTGGGAGCGGATCGCACACTGTGTCTTCTGATGTCCACCCCACCATCGTTCAGTAACAGCCCAGGAGCGTTGGGTGGGAACGGATGCCCAGCAGATCACGCTGCCTGGCCCCCCTGGGAGTTGGGTGGTCACGGGGGATGTGAGCAGAGGCAGTAGGGCTCGGCCATTCACGGACACGTCCACTCCGCGTGCGTTTCAGGGACTCTGACCTGTCAGCAGGCGGCTCTGCGCAGCCTCGTATTCGTCCAGGGGTCCCACTTACGGTGAAGGAGGAGGGGCAGTGAGCCCGTGCAGTGGGACCCACCGGTCCCCTCACAGGCACCGCACAGTCCAGAAGCCGCTGGCCCCGCCAAGAGGCAAAGCTGCCTTTCAGCTCAGAGGTAACAGCCTGTGAGTCGGGGTGTCTGACATGTGTCCCCTCTGAGTAAAGATGTGGATGCGGGGAGGCAGGAGCGGATCTGCTCACCAACGCTGTCCAGGGGAGTTTGTTCCCTACTCACAATCCTGATGTCTTCTAGAGTCCGGTGGAAGTGAACGCTTCCGGAAAGGGAAGTGGTAAGTGTCTGATTCAATGTTGAGTCATGGCTCCTTGTCCCAGAAGACTAGCAGGCCAAGGAAGGGGTCTCCTCGTGGTCACCAGAGGAGGTAGGAACGTCACTGCTTGGGGGGGGAGGGACAACACGCTGGCACCCACCTGAGCCTGCTTCTCTGCCCGGGTTTGATGGAATGTGGACAAGTACAGCAACCATGACCTGAGAAGGGTGTGCTGGCCGAGGGTCTGAAGCCTCTACGGCGAGAGGCCGTGTCAGGCCTCCAGGTAGCTCCTCTCGGGCAGCAGACATGCTACTCGGGGGAGGGAACCCACAGAGGTGAGAGCAGAGGAGCAGGAAGTGGGGGGATAGCGTGAGCGGCTGCTGTGGCCCTAGGATTGCATCAACTTTCCTCTTGTAAATTTCCACAAAAGGAAGCAGCCAGAATCCTGGAGATGCTCTCCCGATGGCGACCCCTGTGGCTGGCGGGTCTGAGAGGCACCACGGTGGACTGTGGCCGGCATTACGGCGTGCTGCCCAGATTCGCCCCTTAGGACGAGGGCTCTCATTCCCTCCGTGGCTGGGAGTGCAGGCTGCCGATGGCTCAGAGAAGTCCCTCCTGGGCTCTCAGCCGCGAGGCACCCCTCCCTGGACACAGCCCCATGCAGTCATGCAGTGACTGGCTTGTGCACTGTGCAAAGGCCCCACCCTCTGGTGTCAGGTCAGGACGTCCCTGCAGGGCCAGGTGGTCCCTCACCGGTCAGCTTCTCCTCCCCAAGAAGCAGCCTGCATGTCAGTGTCCGTCTCTCAGGGAGCCCGACCTACAGCCGCACCTGTCACCCAGCACTCCAGTCTCGTCTGTGTTCCCGCTGTAGCAATGATGTTCCCTCTGCCCGGAACCACTCCTTGCCTTTTGTCCCTACACCTTAAGCAGCAGTCACAGATCTCATCGATTGTCCTGACCTGTAAATACTGCTCTTTCATTGTTGTACAAATGCTGACTTGCCCGAGAGTCTGCTCACAGACACAGCAGCGAAGGCCCCGCAATCATCACGTGTCGTCAATCGTTTCATCGACATCTGCAGAGTCATAAACAACGGAACAGCTGAATACACTCCATCTGCCAGAAGAAGTAAAGCGTAAAAATAGCACTGAAGCCCCTTGAATTCCTTACTGATCAATGTCCCCACCAGTACCCAGAGGTGACCACTCTCCTGAATTTGGTGGTGAACATTCTTTTAGTTTAAAAAAAGGGAGGTAAATACCACAGGCATTCACGTTCAACTTTTTCCCCCCACTCACGTTGTGAAATTCATTCATGTTGATATATTATAGTTATTTTCTTACCATATAGCATCTTGTTGGGTAACTATGTATCATTTATCAGTTCTCCTATAGATTACGATCCCCTCTGCCCTCCTCTCCCCCATCCCCCAGCATGTTGCAATGAACATTCCTGTCTTTGCACACGTAGGCAAGTTGCTCTGGGGCACACACCGAGATTGGAATTGCTGGGTTGTAGGGATATGCATCCTTAGCCACTAGAAATGGCTAGATAGCTGCCGAAAGTCATCAAATCATTTCACATTCCCACCAGCAGTGAATCAGACTTCATTCTGCCCTGCTCACAAATCCACATCCTAATCAATTTGGCCATTGACAGATTTTTAAGCTTTTGCCCATCTGCTTGTGTGAAATGGCATGTCCTTGGTTTTAATTTCCATCAGCCTAAATGTTAGTGGAAGTAAGCTTCCGGTGTTTGCTGTTCAGTAATTATTTGTTGCACAAATGAATACGAAAGGCTCCACTCACTCATTCCGTATTCATGCATCTGTCCTGTTTGATGCCTGCTGAGATCCCATTCCTACACTTGACACATGCTATCCTTTGGCCTTCACACCTGGCTTTCTAGCAGACGCTGCTTTCACATCCCATCCCTGCCATGCCCTCTGGCCAAAATCCATTTCTGGAGCTTGTCTCATCTTGGCTTTATGTTTTGATTATGTTGCTCTTGAGGCTGACCTATTCCTGTGACTCTGCCCTGGCGGGTCCTCCCACCCCCGTATCTGGAGACTAATCTGTCCTCTAACTTACTGCTTGGCTGAGGCAGAGGCCTTACTCTGCCACGTGAACCCAATTCATCCTGAACCAGTCATAAACCTAGGCTGCAAACGGGCTGACCCCTTGCTCTCCTGTTTCTCTCAGTGGCGCTGCTAACCCGTTGTCCAGTGGGTCTTGAAGCTTTCATCAATGGTGGTATCCGTCTGGCTCCCTCCCCTTAGACATGTGAGGCAGGAAAGCATCCTCAAGTTATAGGGAAAACCATCTAAGATGTCTTAATTGTATCCAACCAGTTGTTACCTACTGTCCATTTTTCCTCTGTAAATTCTTCTTCCATCATCTTCATCTTATCACCTTTCAGATTCTTGCAACAAGCCGGAGGAGCTGCTGAAAACCCCTAGGGTCCCCAGTGATGTCTGTAGGGGCCCCCTGAGGCTGTTAGGAGCCAGTCTCCCAGGGGAATTTCTGAGGCCTCAGGGCTCTACAGCAGGGAGAGATCCCAGGGGCCTTCCTGAGCTCCACTGGGAGAGTCCCAGGAGGCTCCCTGAGGCTGTCAGGAAGGAGTCCCTGCGGATCCACTGAAACTTTATTAGATCTCTGGAGATTCCCCGAGGTCATGTAAGGACAGGATCTCAGGAGGGTTCATCAGGCACTGCAGCAAAGGAGTCCTGAGGATCTACTGAGGCTGCATCAGCAGGGGATCACCAAGGATCTGTTGAGATGGCCCCAGGGAGAAGATTCCTGGAGAGTTTCTATGGAGACAAAAGGGGATCCCTGGAGAGTTTCCACAGTTGTCATTCACACAACAAGCATTAAATTTTTTTAAAAATTTATTTCTGAGAGAGAGATAGCGTGAGCAGGGGAGGGTCAGAGAGAGAGGGAGACACAGAATCCGAAGCAGCTCCAGGCTCCGAGCTGTCAGCACAGAGCCTGACATGGGGCTCGAACCCACGACCGGTGAGATCATGACCTGAGCTGCAGTCTGACGCTTAACCGACGGAGCCCCTGGGCGTCCCCACCCAACAAACATTTCTAGAGGGAGAAGACACAGGCCCCACCCGGCAGTATCTCAAGCTGTCTGTGGGGACAGGTAGATGCTGCAGGCCGGGCACAAGCGGCTGCGGAAGCCCTGCCACCGCCAGGCAGGGTCTAAGCCTCAGCGTGGTGAGAGGGGAGAGACCTTCGGCTCTTCCAGAAGGAGGTAGCCTTTTCCAGGGGGTGGTGGGCCCGTGGCGGAGAGCAAGCACAGAGCACCCTACGCAGCACCTTGCGCATGGCAAGTGGGGGGCAAGGGGGTCGGACAAACTTGAACCAGAGGGCACATCAGATTTGTTCCACACGAGAACTGGCGGAGGCGTGTTAAGGGGCTCCCCAGCCGCAGCCCCAGTCTGCAGCGCCAGTCCCCTGCCGTGGGGCTTTGGTCTCCGGCCAAGAGGAGGTAGTGCAAGCAGCACAAGCAATTCCACATTTGCCGGTGGCTACGTTAAAAAAAAAAAAAAAAAAGTAAAAGGAAACGAAAATTTCGGCAACATTTTATTGGATCTAATATGCCCCACATATTATTTCACTATGTCACCAGCGCAGAATTACTCTATTTTCCCTCTACGCTCCGCACCGACTCTGAAACCCCGCGCCAGCGCGCTACCGGACCGCCCCCTACTCGCTTCCGCTCTTCCTCCCCGGCGTCGCCCTTTAATGTCGTCAGCGCCTGCGCCGTGCGTCACGCGCGCCTGGGACGGGGGCGGGACTTCCGGACGCGCGGAGGCACAACTTCCGGAGGGAGGCGGAAGAGCCTCTCGGCTCCAGGCTCCGGAGTCCTGGGACCGCTGAGGGGCCGCCCGGGGTACAGGAAGGGGCTGTCGGGACCGGCCGGCCGCATTCCGGGTGTCGGGGCCGCGGGTCCGAGGGATGAGGAGGGGCCATGGCCAGCGACGGGGCCAGGAAGCAGTTCTGGAAGCGCAGCACCAGCAAAGTCCCGGGCAGGTGGGTGTGACGGGGAGGCCGGGTCGGGGTCAGGGGTCATAGGTCAGGTGGGCGTCGGCCCCCTGGGCTGCGGGTGGAGTCGGGGTCTGGGGACCGGGTGACGTGGGCTGTGGGAGGACCGCTGGCGCTGTGCGGGCTGTTGGGGAACTGGGGGTTCGGGCGTAGGGTCTGGAGGTGACCGTGGCTGCGCGAAGCAGCGTCGAGGCTTGAAGGGAGGAGGAGGGGGAGCCGCCAGCAAGTTTACCCCAAGACTGTCAGGCTCCTTCTGCGAAACTCCGGGGCTCCCCGGGCTGGTCGAAAGGCACCGGCTCGGGTCGTGCTGCGAAGAGTTCGGTGGAGTCCGGAAAGTGGCCCCAGGCTGTGCTCGCCGGGACCTCGGTTTCTGGAGGGGGTGTGGCGGCTTGACCCATTTGGCGTGGCCTTCTCGTCTCTTGTGGACGGCTGCTTTTGCCTTGAGCGAGGATTTGCTCAAGTGGCTGCTTTTGCCTTGAGCGAGGATTTGCTCAAGTGGCTTTGGGACTTCCTGTGAATTTCCACGTATCCCACTTTCTGGCCTCAAAACCAACTGCTTTCTCGAGTCAGCCGCAGGAAGCAAATTTAAACAAAAATGAAAACACACACACACACACACACACACACACACACACACGACTGAAGTGCTTCCAAAGGCCTGGGTGCACCCTGGAAGCTGTACAGCTCCAAAGTCCTGGTTGGCGTGTCACTGATCCCTGGCCGGGCCCCAGGGGACGCGAAGACGTGACATGGAAAATGTCTGGGATAAAAATCAGCCGCTGGTGAAAATAGATTAGTAAAGAGATTTCAGGATTTCTGAACAGTGTTTATTCTGTGTGGAAACTAAGGTCTGACGTACTGAAAATTAGGTATTGTGTTCAAATGACTGCAAGTGGAGCCACTTATATAAAAGCACAGCGCATTAGTGAGTGTTGTAGGCCCTGTTTTTTAGTGGGAGAATCGTGAGGTTTGTAGTTCACTGTGTTCCGCCAGAAACGTTTACTTTTTAGAGCGATTTGGGGGTTCATAGGAGTGAGTTACTGGCTGCTCAGACACAGTGATTTGGGGGGGATGGATCACCAGAGGTGGCTAGAGACCCCCTTTTCCTTCCCACGGTTGTGCTTGCTTGGAGAATAGAAGAGCTGGGGTTGGGGTTGGGGTCCGAGATGATGTGAACATTCTGGGATGGCAGAGAATAGGAGATCCCAGTAGTGACAGAGCAAGATGCCTTAGAACTCCAGGGACAGTGAGCCATATGCTGGAGAACTTGCGTGTGTCTCTTTTAGGCCTTGAGGCTTTGCTTCTTCCTCAGTCTGAACAATCTCTGAATCTTGACCAGCTGAGCCGTAAGAATCACGGAGCTGCTGTGTGGAACCGTAACGGCGATTAAACTTTGGATCAATGACTGTATCGCTCGGTAATTTGTCCTTGTCTTGGTTTCAGTAGTGTCCCCGCCACCCCCCAATTCATCTAAATCTGGAACCTGGGAACATGACCTTGTTGGGAAGTAGCATCTTTGCAGATGTACTCGAGTTAAAACGGGGTCAGACAGGATCAGGGTGAGCCCTAGTCCAGCGACTGGTGTCTTCCAAAGAAGAGGGCAGTTTGGACACAGAGAGAAGACATGGAAGACGGCACGTGAAGACGGAGGCAGACGCGGGAGCCGTGTGCTCACAAGCCCGGGGACGCCAAGGCTTGCTGACAACCAGCAGGAGCCGGAAGAGGCAAGGAAGGATCCTTCTCTGAGGACTTTAGAGAGAGTGGCCCCGCCAGTGCCTTGATTGTGGACTTGAGGCCTCCCAGACGACCAGGGTGGATTTCTGTTGCAGTGCGATGGCCACGGGAAGCTAACGTGTCCTCCTCGGCCTTCTTCCGTGAGATTCTGTGTTACCAAAGACAGGCTTTCGCTTCCCTTGGGCTTGGACGCCGGGCTGGGTCTTTGGCATTTTGGAGAGCAGCTCCCTGGTTGGAGCTACAGAGCCGGAGCGGAGCCTTGCAGAACTGCCAGAGGCTGTCGGTGCGGAGGGCAGGGCACCGAGGAGAGGTCGGGGCCCCTGGAAAGGCCCGCCCAGCCGCAGCGCGCCCCGTGCCTCTGATGGCCTTGCTCTGGTCCTGCTGCTGTCGCACAGGTTTGCCCTCTTCCCTCGGTGGCTCGCCTTCCTGTGGTGACCGCCTGCCACACGCTTGGGCTTTGCCTGCACGAGCGCAGCGCTGTCAGAGCTCCAGGCAGAGTCCGTGGCTCTGCTCACCCTGTCCGTGGTTCCCATGGTTGCCGGACTCTTTGAGTGTGGACGTTACAGAGGGAAGTTCAACAGAGAAGAAGAGACTCAGCACCGAGTACGGAGCTGATAGGGGGTCATTTATACAGCACAGCCCTTAACATCCCTTGGTCATAATCTCCTCCTCATACACCCTTGTGACAATAATCGCTGGCCGTCACTGAGCACTTAGTGTTTGCCAGGCCGTTTGGTGCCCTGCAAGTGTCGCGTCTCCCTGGTGTGGCAGGGTTACAGAATGCGCTCCGTCCTCCAGTCTGACGCTCCCCGAGGCAGGCTTGGGTTAAGGTCCTTGGTTGTATCTCCTGAAATGCCATATGGAGGAGTGGAGTAAGGCTCTTTCTAACCTGACCCCTATCCAATTCTTTAGCCACCTCTCGCACCCTTCCCTGCCTTGACCTTGGCCTTCAGCGGTGTGGACGGACTTGCGGGTTCCTTGGTGTACCTGCCGCGTGATGCCTCAGTCAGTGTCATACTGTCAGCATGGACCAGAATATCTGTTCCCTCCTCTTCCTTTGCCTGGGTTATTTTATTTTCTTAACTCCCCACGTTTGCCTCTGGTGTACGCCCTCGTAAAGCCGTGCGTGTTTTCGTGCGGTCTGGGCTAAACCTTCCGTGATCCGCGTGTTGGTATGTGCTCGTGTTCTCTGGACGGGGCTCTGCGAGTCTCAGGAGCGTGCCTTACACCCCTTGGCGTCAGTGCTGATCGGCGGGGGTCGATTCGAACCACCTTCCAGATTAACCTCGAAGGAATAAGTGATTTGGTTGGGGTCTCACAGTGTGCGAGAGGGCATCTTGCCAGCCCTCCCCCCCAGCCTCTGCACACCCGGGGCCTTTGGTTGTCTCTTTGGCTGGTGCTTTCTCAGAGATTCTCTTCTGGATGAGGCGGCGCGTGAGGTGCGGTGGAAGGACCTCTGACTTGGTTCTGTGGCCCGGGTTTAGCCTTTTCTTCCCACTAATCTCTGCGTGACTTTGACCAGGCCGGGTCACCCCTGGGGCTCTCGGTGTCTGCACGTGTGACCGGATGAAGCTGGATTAGGCCTCAGTGGCTGGGGCCGCCAGGCACAGATTTGTTTGGACTAGTCCGATTCTCTCTGGTGAGCATAAGAGAAGGCCTCCTGGACCGGCTTTGAGAGTTTGAAAATTTATTCATTCACCAATTATTTGTTTAACCAGCACTCTGTGCCAGTAACAGTTGCAGGTGCTAGCGGTCCACCCGTGGCCGAAATGGACTTGGGTCTGTGGCCTTGCAGGGCTTACGGTGGAGCAGGAAGGGCGGAGCATAAATACCATGACCGCGTTAGGGGGAGGGTTACCCCCGAGAAGACGGTAACCGTTACTGAAACGTGCAGCAGGGATTGGGATCGACCCTTGGGAAGCAGGCGGGAGAGGGGGGAGGGGGTCATAGTGGGAAGGTGGCCGGAGAAGCCCTCACCGAGGAGGCAGCATTTGGGTGAGATTTGCAGGAGGTGAGTGACCGGACCCCCTGGGTGGCCGGGGGACCATGGTCCAGGCAGAGAGCGAGTGAGTGCAGAGCCCCTGTCGGGAAAGACCCTGCTGGGTTTGGGAAGAGCAGGGGGCCCGGCAACTGTAGCCCAGGGAGGAGGGGAGAGAGTCAGGGCACAAGGTCTGGATGGTGGTGGGGGTGGGTCTCATGGTCACAGCATAAAGACATGGACTTTCAGTCTCTTACTCTGAAGGGGGAGCACTTTGGAGGGTCGTGGCTGAGGGGTGGCTGGACTGGTCTCTGGTCTGGTGGGGTCACTCTGGCCCCTGGGTGGAGGGTAGGTTAGGGGCTTGGGGGGCGAGGGCAGCAGTGGGGAGACCCGCTAGGAGGCTGTTGAGAACATGCGCGTGAGAGATGGTGGGGGCGCCATAGGATCAGCAGGTGGACAGTGGAATCGCGGGCCGCGCGGTCTCGGACCCTCTGGGGCCGGTTCTTCCTGGGGCCGCCCACTCGCTTGGCTCCCCAGCGGTTGTTGCTTTCTGCGGTTGCGGTTGGCATTCTCGCCACACTTCGCCTTAAATGCCAGGACGAGATCCTAGCGTGCAGGGCACGGGAACACAGGCGGCCTTCCAGTGGGAGTCCAGCACTTGCCGTCTCGATGTGGCTGTGCTTGGCAGCGTGCTCGGCCTGCAGGAGGGCGTGTGGGCAGCCGGGGCCTGGGATGGGTGACGTCTGGGAGTGCGATGGCCGCAGGCAGGGCCCCATGTGAATGTGGCCAGGCTGTGGGTGCCTGGGGCCGAGCTGGGGCAGAGGGTGGCGCGGTGCTGTGGCTCTACTGGCTTTCAGCTTCCAGCTGCCAAGGCCCGAGGCGTCCCTGAGCCAGGGACACACCAGCTCCGCCGTCGTCTTCACAGGCCACCGTCAGTCGTCGGCTGTGGGTGAGTTGTTGGGATCACCCGTTCATTCAGAGCGTACTTCTGCGTGCCAAGTGCCACGCTGAACGCTGAGCCGGGAGACGTGGGATGAGGGAGACGGCACATCAGTTCGTGCAGCGCGAAGTGCTTCGAAGGTCATCCTTGGGGCGTGTTGGCGGAAGAGCGGAACACCCTGTCAGTGGAAGGCCACGGCCTTCCGGGAAGCGTCCTGCCTAGCTTGAGGTGGCGCCAGCCCTTAGAGACGCAGGGGTGTGTGTGGGGGGCATCAGAGCACTCCTGGCGGGGCAGCGCTGCAGGGACACCGGGGGCCGGGGAGGAGCACGCCGGGGG